ACTTAGAATTCAATTTCAGATCGCCAACACTTGTAACAAATATTTCTAGAGACAATGAAGTTTTGACCAGCGACCCCGCAAGACAGCGCGCGCGTCGCTGAATGTTTTTAAATTTTGTGTTTGTATTTGTTTACACTGTCATCAGAGGTCTAACAGTCCGAACTAGTTTAGACAAGGAACTCGATGCTGAAGAGTTTCTATTTCTATCTCATGGAGAAACTATTTTTTCATGAGAAATCGTGTATACGCATATCTTTGTATTGACGTAATGAATCAAATAAAGAAATCACACTCGTGTACCCATACTTTTAGGTCTGATTAAGGAGTTCGAACGCCACCACCTTATTTTTCCCTGAAGAACGAAATCTTGGAATAAAGGACAGTCACGTGATTAAACTGACGGTGAATGACTGGAAGGAATGGATTACTCTTCTTAGTTGCTAGCCATCACTCATTGCAGTCACTTTCATTTTTCTTTCTTTTTTCCTTTTTTAGGTTTTTGTTTTGTTTCTATTTTCCGAGCTGATACCAGTTTGTTTTTGTTTGATTTAATTTTTTAAAATTTTATTTTATATATTTTTCGCGTAATTATGATAATTATTCGATCTTCCGGGATGTTCCGGAATGTTCCGGCATGTTCCGGAATGTTCCATGTTCCTGGTTTTATCGACGGCCCTTAAATATTCTATCCTGCAGTTTAGCTAACTATTGCAAGCGGGTCTTTTAGTGAGACATGGATTGCCAATAGCAGAAAGTCGAAACAAAGTGAAAACATTAGTAAAAAAAAAAAAATTCGCTTTGGCGGGAAATGTTTCTGACCGAACTGTTAATTGGAATTCGCGCGACCTATTGTATTCCGATTTGTTTGTAGATATCAATTTTAACTTATCTATATATTGACAAAAGAACAAAAGACTATCGGAAACATGTTTACTTCGGAAATAAACGGCCGCCCTTTTGTGAAACAACCCACTCTGTGGGACATAGTAAATTCCACGGCCGGGAATGAAACCGTTACTTGCAAACAAAATAAACAATGAAACTTAAGATTTCTTTACCAAATTTAACCTGTATTGCCGGTCCTGAAATGACTCTGAAATACCTTTTTGCAAACGAACTTGATAGGTTACAGAAAAGGCAACTGTTTTAAGCTTTAATTCAGTAAGTATCTCCTTTAGCGACTAGTTATCTTAAATTAATTATTGCAAGGCCGCATAGCAAAACGTTATTGACTTCCTGTTCAGCCTTGGTGTGAAATCGACATCTCGTCACAAATGTATGGCATTCGAAGCGATAAAACATACTCGGATTAACTAAAGTTACTTTGGCGTTGAGATTGAACTGTTTTACCGTTATATTACAGGCGCAAGCAAACAATTTGCTTATTAGTACAAAGAACTCATAATATAAGGACTTAGGGCCCGTTTACATGGAAAGAGGGTGCCTCGGGGGGATAGGGGCACCCTACCTAGTAGGGTTGAAGA